GACAATATGTATTTGAAGGATATATCCAGGAAGGCAAAGTGATTTAGCATTGAAAAGATACATTTCAACATAATATAATAACAATATTAAAAACAGTTTTATGACATAACACCATCCGGACACTGACTGAGGTATAAAGCAGCCATTACCAGATCTTCAGATGCGCGGGCCTGGGCTTTTCTGAAGAGCTCCAGGTCGTATTCACTGGTGATGTTCTCCAGCAGAGGCTCTCTGGTGTTGCTGTGTGTCTGCCGATGCTCCTGTGGACCAGACGGACAGAGGTATGGACATCTGATGATATACCATCCAATACACTAAACGGAGTGGCGGTTGTAATAGGGAATATGGCAAGTTGGGAGTGCCAGCAATGTACCATGTGCTTTTCTTTCTGCTCCTTCTGAAGGCCAGAGTTTCGCCCCTTCCTCATCTCAGACACCTGCTCTTTGTATCTGCTCTGTTTCGATGTTGGCGTCTGAAAATCATGATAGAAATACAATTTCATGATAATATCAAACCTGCACAATAACTACATTTTTGGCGGTGGATCCTACATAACCTTCATATGCTTCCTTGTCGACAGTAAACAGAATAAATGTGATGTCAATGAATCATTGCATGAAGGGAGTACCTGGTGGCGAGTTGCATGGCGCGAGTTGTTTTCTTCCTTCACCTCCTCCTCTGGTTTCTCACGGCTGACGGCTTTCACCTGTAATGAAGAGTAAGATGCAGCTCAAACTGTCAAATATTTGTTCATATGTCGCTACGCCTTATTCACTTATTGTATGATACCGGTCTTCTTGTTTTGTTAGTCTAAACTGTAAACATAAGGGCCATAACAGTTCAATTTAAGGAAGGAAAAATAAATAACAGAAAATGAATAAGGACAGATTTGTGAAGTAACCACACACGACAAATCTACAAAGGTTCTACTAATACCATCATATAATATCAAGACAATGAGATAATAAGTGTTGGCTATCCTCGTCATAGCTAATGACAGTAGACAAGCAAATGAAGACACTTATAACACCATCGTCTCACCTTGCATTCATCAGCAGACAGATTGTGGTACAGAGGGCAGCCTGAGACAGCAAAATGACGTTCATGTTTTCCCGTGAGATGACCTTTGCAAATTGACAAAAGGAGGTAATTGATATTAATACAATGATATTATGATAGTACCTGATGTCACTGAATACACATCAAATTCATTTAAATCAATAATCAGGGACTCCATTGATTAACCTATGTTTTACCGAGTGAGTTGCATCCTGGCGTCGGGCATTTCATGTTGAAGTTATAGGTCTCGTGACAGCGGCGGCGCTTGGGTCGATGGGAGAGGTCCTTGTCCGAGTCTCTGCTGGCTTGATCTTTGGCCAGGCTCTCGTCATGGGAGGCGTTGGGGCTGGAGATGTCCAGCTCAGATTCAGAAGACGGGGCATTTCCCGTTGGCGTCAACGGTGGAGATTCGTCATGGTCAGCGGCTCGCTTCAAGTCCGGAGTATCTAAAGCAAAAAAAAGGAGTCAAACCACCATGTTCATTCAACAGCTGAGAGGAAGTACACTGTAAAAACTATATTTTTGTCATTATAGGATGTTGGCCAACCCTGAGAGCTTTGGCTAAGGCGAGTGGAGGCTCTGGTGAGGCGCTGCCTCTTGTGCATGTTCCCATCGCTTTCTGAACTATTGGTCTGTTCTCTTTCAGCAGAGGAGTCCGAGTCTTCAGTTCCATCTGAACCGCTCCCGACCATGTGTCTCTGTCAGGAGGGGGTTTAAATGAGAGGCATCCTATACAAAATCTGTTATCATGGTGCTAAAATGTAGAAGCTGGTGGCCCCCCAAGTGTCAGTGACAGAGTAGACAATAGGGGTCACAATCAATGAGGTTAGCTTACTAGGAATTGTTGATTTTGTATTAATAAAACCAGCATCCCAAAACCTGGGACTACGCGATGCTTATGAACCAAGTGCTTGTAACAGGTTTACCCGCTGTTATTATCTAGCGTACTCTGTAGTCAGTATTTGAGAGAAAGGCCACACACAGCTGATGGCTCACTGTTAGCAGGTTGAACAGCTGTGATTAACGTTGGCGGCTAACGATCACCACAGTTAGCATGTTGGTACTTTGTAGCGCGCATCTGGTCAAATAATGTGAACGTTGCTATCCATAGTAGTGTCAACACGATAGAGTATCTGTCCTAGTTAGCATTTCAGCAACGTAATATTGTTAGCTTCGAGTGTCATGTTAGCGCCCCCGTTTCCTCACACGGCTAATAGACAGTGGAACCAGACAGCATTAACAAAAATCGCATCTTAAGATACAGTGCTTGTTAGTGCTTTCCTTTCTGTGAATATCTAGATATTATTGACATAATGCTAGTTATGGTAGTCTCCTGGTAAGTTCGGCATATACATAACCTAGAAAGGCACCGTTTTGTTTCAATAAAAGCCGTGGTAAAGTTTTACATTTAGAATAGCTGCTCTTGACCGCACACCAAGGTGCAACGTAAATTATCTTACTTAACGTGAACTAAAATGTTGACAAAAACAAATTATGACAACTGATACAGTAGAGCAACTAATGGACTGTTTAAATGATGCATGGTGGACTGAACCTATACAACAAACCCCATGTTTTAGCATGTTCAATTGTGTAATAATTGAATGGAATATGGTGGAGCGTGAAGCTAACGTTAAGTTAGCTAATGCTACCCTCTTGTGCGAGCTACATCTGTTCTTACCTGTCGTCTACGAGGCATGTTCAGCTGGATACGCGGTACTTCCTGTGGGTTTGAAATAAGGAATTGCAGAATGCCCGAAACCGAAGAAAAAAAAGACGGAAAAAAACTATTTATTGATTTTTTTCAGGAGGAAGTTTATATGTACACAGCGTTGCCCCGGGTCTCTCGCGCCACATTCCCCTCACAGACAGGGTAGAGAACTGCATTTCCGGTGACAAATCTATGGAGTGTGCGCCTCCACACCAGCAGGGGGCGACTAGAAGCTACGACATGCTATACTATGACTTTCTAATGACTTTTTCCACTTAGCATAATTTGACTTTTTACAACATACTATACTGACTTTTTAATGACTTTTGTGGACATGCTATACCACAACTTTTTTCGACATACAATACTATGACTTTTTTCAGAGTACTACACTGACTTTTTTTCGATATACGATGCTATGACTTTTTACGACAAAATATTCTTTGACTTTATGACAAACTATGACTTTGTTCGACAAACAATTCAATGACTTTTTACGACATGCTATAGTATGACTTTTTTGAGTTCTTATGACATATACTATGACTTTATTACTTTATTACTTTATGACAATTACTTTTTTCGAGACACCTTGCTTTGAATTTTTTACGATGTACTTTACGAAGACTTTTACGACATACTTTACACAACACACTTCACGATGACTTGTTATGAACTTTTTCAACATACTTGGCTATGAATTTTTAGGATTTTTTTATGGCATATGATACTATAACATTTTACAACATACTGAATACTTTTTTAATTCGTTTTTTCAACAGACTATACAATGATATATTACTTTTCCTGACATATTAGACTATGACATACTATACTTTGACTTTATACTTCATACTTCAGTATGTTTTTGTATTACTTTTTCCGACATACTATACCATGACTTTTTCTGACATACTCCGACTTTTTCCATGACACACTATGCTGTAATTTTTGTGACATTTGCATGACAAACTAGACCAGAAATGAGAAACCGGTTTATTGCCAAGTAGGTTTTCATATACAAGGAAAATGTTGTTTTGCACATGACAATTAATGCAGTAGTGACAATAAAAGACAAGTAAGAACCAACAGTGACGAAACATGAATAAAATAAACTAGATTGACAACAATACTGAAAAAATATATCTTTCATAAAGGAAGACCGTAACAGCTGTGCAGGTATTTCAATGTTTAAAAGGTTTTGTACATGGAATGTGCAAAAAGTTCACAGTCGAGAAGGTCACAGAGTCCTGGAGGCATACTGGTCCTGGACGGATGGAGGATTGCAACCAATTGCATTCTCTGCAGAATGATATACTGCAGTCTTTGAGAGGTCTAACTTCTTCAGCTATCGCAGTAGGTACATCCCCTGCTTGTGAGGTCTTCTGTGATAATTGAGCCCAGGAAGCGTAGGGACTCAACAGTTTGGTCTTGGGAATCAAACAAGGTGAAAGGGACAGTCGCATCAAAACATAAGACAAAAGAATAGGAGATTTAAAAACAATTAAGAACATTCATTGAAACATTAAAAACGGTCATTAAAACACTAAAAAGCAGGTGTAAGAAATAAAATACAGAAGTAAAATGCAGAAATACAAAAATTGATTAATATCCTTGAATGTGGTTCAATTAAAGGCAGCAGCAAACAGAAAAGTCTTCAATCTTGATTTAAAGGAGCTGAGGGTCTCAGCAGACCTGCAGCTTTCTGGGACTTTGTTCCAGATATGTGGAGCAGAAAAACTGAACGCTGCTTCTCCATGTTTAGTTCTGACTCTAGAAAGTAGACCGGTCCCAGACGACCAAAGGGGTCGGGATGGTTCATAAGGTAGCAGCATATCAGAGATGTATTTTGGCCCTAAACCATTCAGTGCTTTATAAACCAACAGCAGGATTTTAAAGTCAATTCTTTGTTGGACAGGAAGCCAGTGCAAATCCTCAAAACTGGAGTGATGTGATCCACTTTCTTGGTCTTAGTGAGGACTCAAGCTGCAGCGTTCTGATTGACTTTTTACAGAGAACTGTAAATACACCGTTACAGTAGTCGAGTCTACTGAAGATAAACGCATGGATATAGCGCTTTTCAAAATTCTCAAAGACACTTTACAAACATTAAAACCATCGCTAAAAAGCTAAACACTAAAAACATAGAACACACATTCGTCCCACATTAAAAGCAGTTCTGTAAAGGTGGGTTTTGATTTGTGATTTGAATATGGCGAGGTCTGTGCAGTCACGGATGTGTTTGGGGAGAGAGTTCCGGAGTGAGGGGGCAGATATGGAGAAGGCTCTGTCGCCCCATGTCCGGTGCTTGGTCCTGAGTGGGAGAGAGAGAGAGAGGCGGTTAGCATCAGAGGAGCGGAGCCGACGGGATGGACTGTGGTGGTGGAGCAGGTCGGTGAGGTAGGAGAGGGCCTGATTGTGGAGGGCTTTATGAGTGAAAATCATAGTAAAGTAGTCATAGTAAAGAATGCTAAAAGGAAGTCATAAAAAACACATTATACAATGTAAAAAAAAGTCATAGTACAGTATAGTACGTTGAACATCGCCTGAAAGTAATACGCAAAAAAGTCATAGCAAGGTATGTAGAAAAAAAGTTTAAAAAAAAGCAACAATCACATTGAGTTACAGCGATCCAAATAATATAGAACAGCGCAGAATAAATATGACCTTTGTGAAACTTAAATATCAATATGTTTATTCTGTCAGTCTAACAAACAGCTGACCTTAACAAGTTTCACAAAGATCTACCATAAGATGTATACATATATTCAGTATAATTACACACAACCATCATTATTAAATAACCCAGAATATGATTATGGTTTCTTTTGAACACTGGAATTAATTTACAAGGCTCAACGTTTCAGAAGAAATTTAAATGATATAACTCATCAAACAGACACTCAGGAATGATCAGCTCCATGTGTGAATGGAAATGACGATGAAATGATGTAAAAAGTGTTTCGTCTCTAGGCGTGTCGTGAAGGCGGCTCTCGTCCATCCTCGCTCATGGCTCCTCAGAGATCTCTCCTCACTCCTCAGAGCAGAAATAAGAGTTTTGGAACGGCCGTCAATATGGCGGCGCAAAACAACTTCTGGTTCAATCGAGGATCAAGGAGCGAGGAAATGACAAATAAGAGAGTTGGGATGTTCCCACTGTCCAGGTGAACGCTGCCTTCACACAATGTAAGCCGGGATCGGCTCCAGCTGACCCCACGACTCTGAATAGGCGGAGCGGTTACAGATAATGGATGGATGTGGTTAGGGGCTAGCTAGTTAGCTGTTGGACTGTGAGAGAGAGCTACTGTATGTGAGAGGGGATTCATATCTCATGTCGGGATGGTTTCATGTGAGGGAGGGAGCTCATTATACATTTTCCATTAATCACGTGATCGTTGCGCACGCAACCCCTTCTTTGCCAAACTGTTTTGAATTGGTTCTCACAAAGATAAAAGTAGAAGTAGACACACACTGACCATTCCAACAGGAGTAGAGCTATCAACCGAACCGTTTTCTAGGTCATCCGAACCATTTCCCTGCTGACGACGACCTGCAGCACAGAAATGATTGTATATGTTACATACGGTTAACTTTAATAGTATAAATTTCGTGGTCCACACGAAAATATTTTAATTTTTGTATCTTTTAAAAGTCTGCTTTCAAACAGTTACTAGTGGACATTGATTGAACAGTTTATCATGAAGTCATTTGTTTCTACACCAAACATTCATCTTAAACCGGTGAACACTTGTGCGGCTGACTTCTCGGGGAACTTACTTTTATACGTTAGTATATTTATGTTTCAAACTTCTCTGCTTGACTGCTGTGTTAACTAATCCTTTAGTCTAATTGTAGAACAGCAGAAACGCTACATCTGTTCATACTGAACCATGGCCATTAATAAACTATGAAATAAAAAAGCTTCTCTATCTGATGTACCTGCATTCGTGCAATGTTTAGGTTGTATTGTGTGTTGTGGATGAATTCACTTATTGTAAGTCTCTTTAGATAAAAGCTAAATTAATCATGTTCAAAAATATATGACCTGAAACATTACCATTGGACACGCCGATAGAAATATTTTATATAAACTTACTGCTCTTGCTGCGTGTGATCCACATCCAAAATACAAGCAGAGCTAGAATGACAATTCCTAAAACCAACAATCCGATGATCACTTTGGTCAATGAGTTATCAAACGCTTTCTCTGAAACACATCACAAAAAGAGAATGTAACTGCACACATACTACACAAAGCAACAGTTAAACACCTTTGAATCTAATAAGACATGAACAACAACAATGAAATCTCACCACAGATGAGCCCAAAGGTCTCAGAAGTAATCCTGCGCTTGATGTCTTCCTGCTCGACTACACAGCGATAGCGGTCCGTCTTGGTCGCAGTGATGTTCAGCGTGATGTCGTAGCTGCCTCCTCTCTCTGTGACCTGTGGTTCCTCAGCAGGAAGTTTGTTTCCATCACTGTCCTGCCATTCTACTTCAAGCTTTGGAGAAGCACCTCGAACCTCACACTGTAACAGTGACCAGACGTCTGTGGCATGAAGTATTGTGACGAATGGCTTTGGAGCTGCACCTGTGAACACAGTATGAACCTATTTAATCCATCGGTCACAATAGAGACCGTAAAAAAGGTTTGCAGTTAAAAGGCTCTAAAAATTTTACTGAACATTGTATCAATGCATTTCCAGCAAATATTGAAATAATAAAAGGTGTAAATGAAATATGTGCAGAGCCACATGTTTAGTCTACATGGTCACATGACCAGAGCTGTTTACTTCCTTGTTGCACAATGACAAGAGGATCGCTGCATCAAAGCTGACCTTAAAAGACAGATCAGGAGAAAATCATTGTGATTGATGACGTCACTGAGCAGTGTGTGCGACCCTATTACTATTATTACTCAAAGCTTGTATTATTACTTCCCTTGAACTCTACGTCCTTTAAACATTGTAGACGTAGAAATCAGTGACATCAAAATCTCACCTCATCTGTCTTTTAAGATAGATCACTGTTTAAAAGTTATGTATTTATATCAATCTCCGGGGGTTCTGGGTATTCTGTGCATGTTCCTCTGTAATTATGATTCATAAATGGTGTCAGTGGTGATTAATGACCAGATTTTTGGAAGAATAGATGCTTGAAATGTGACCAATCAAACAATAGAGAACATGGAGGTACTGTATGAGAAGATCTGAATGAGACTGAGGTCTACAGCACACACTTCACACATGATCCTTAGTGACATCATCGCTCACCTGAGATTTCTCCTGACCGGTCCTTAAAGGACAACTCTGAAAGACAAATAGGACACGTACCACCTTTTTAGCTTTGGTCTACAAGACTCCAGACTATTCAACCGCTCTGAAGTCAGTAAACCATCAAATATTCTTATTTATCCTTTTACTTTAAGTCTTCTATGGTGGTGATTTGCATAAAAACACAAAATTCAAAAACATCTTTTCATTATTAGTTTTAATGATGTATAATAATGTTCTTAGAGCTAGTGTTAGGAAGTTAAACAGCTCATAATTGATCTCTAATATCTATTTTATATTCATGTGAAAACATCTCCTTCAAACTACTGGATTTTTTCAAGTTCTCCAATTCAGCAATTTGGCCGTCACCATCTTGTACTTTTTGCAACCAGTGAACAGGAAGTGACCATATCTGGACTGAGGAGGAGTGACGTAGAGACGCCGTATACTTCTCTGGTAGAGACCGTGTAGTCCCGCCCTAAAGCATACCCTGCTTTATGGTCTATTTGACCATAAAGCACAAATGGACAAATAAAGCACAAAGCATAAATGGACCATAATGTACTAAATGAACATCATGCTGTGTTGAAGAAGACTTGAAATTAGAGATTGAGACCATACACTCATGTTTACAATGTTTACTGAGGTAATAAATCAAGTGAGAAGTAGAGTCATTTCCTCATAGACTTCTATGAAAGTACTCACCAACAACAAGCTCAATGTAGAAAGTTTGAGGTGGCTTAAGAAGTGGAAAATGACAGGTGTAGGTTCCACTGTCCTCCTTCTTGGTATTTCTGATGATTATGGAGGCGGTGCCGTGTTTCAGTTGATCTTCAAAATGTGAGACTCGTCCTTTGAACGCCTCACTCTGACCATATTTGCCGTTGTTGTATTGATCACCTGCATCATAAAAGAAAACCTCTTTCGGAAGTGTATCCTTCGGAGGTACTTTCTGCCAGTCAAAGACAGCTGCTGAGATGTCCTGCTCGGTGTCCAGGGAACAAGGTAAGATTACATCACTCCCGTCATTGACCTTTCTGATGATGCCTGAAAGACAAAGCGTATTTGAATCACTATAGGTTTAAATAGAGAAAGTCAGGTTAAAGGGAGATACTATAGGTGAATATAGGTAAAATAAATGTCACTAATAGATATCATATCACCATGTGTATAAAGACTGTGCTTATTAAGATCTCTAGGAGAAGAAGAACATTTTATAATCAGGATGCACATTGGAAATAAACTAAACCACGTGCATAAGGGTTAGGGGCAAGTTGAAAGAAGTGGGGTGTCAAGTTTCATAACAGTTCTTTATTGGAGGTGGGCAAGCCTCGGTTTTATCCGTCAATAGAGGAGATAGGCGGAGTCGGCTGAAGTGACAGCAAGCAAGTGAAGAACCACTTGACTTTGGTTTTAGGACATTTGAATATTCTCAAGGATCTCTATCATTTCATACCACAACGTATTTTTCACTTATTGACAACTATACGGCGTTATTTCCAAGTGCATATATTTTCCACGTGGTATAAGTTTGACAATCCATGAAACGTAGATCAAAATGTTGAACTTTACTCCATCAAACGACATGTCAATTACAGACAATCCATGCTACGACAAATTATGAAAGAACGGTGGGGCATCAATTCCACTGATGTAAACAACCAGCTGATGCAACCTGGCAGCTTCACGTGTCGGAAATAGGTTCCATATTTGGATTTATGCTGCGTTCATGCTCCTCCTGTATAAATGAGAGCCGCTGGGACTGAATCAATAGGACTATTTAAAACGAGCTAAAAGCTGCAAATGGCTGTTGATTTGGGCATTAACACCAATTCACTACAGATTTATAGCAATGGTAGAAATAACGAAGTATATTTACTTGAGTACTATATATAATTAGCTCACCATTTTGTTTACTTGAACTTACTTGAGTACTTACATTTTCTGCAACTAATTTGATAATTTGAAGAAGACTTACATTCACCGATTCGAAGCAGCTTTATGATAATTGCTGTTTTTTTAATCATTGAATTAAATACATTTGAGGGTTTTAGTCTTGGATTGGATGGTTAGTTGAACATACAATTGTCAGATGTTAACCTTTGGCTCCAAGAAACTGATGGATACTTTTCAATACTTTATATCATTTTGTAGACGACCAATAGATTTATAGATCATAATACATAATTAATAGTTTGGTTTAATGAAGACAACCATGAGTCGCTCGCAACAAGATATTGGTTCCGCGATATGGTACACAAATGTCCTGTAGTCCTGAATGCATCGTAGGGATGGTAGTTAAATATAATTCCAACACACATGTGATTTTATATCGTTTTATATTAGAGTTAAATATCGGCATTAAAGTATCCGGCATGTTGCATTTCATTTGACAACGGATCCGTTCACGTGAACTACTGCTTTATATCTGTTCACCGTAACTTTTCATTGATATTCGGGGACTTGTTACTTGAAAATGAACAGCAGCAGTACAACTTTACTACACACTATGATGGTTAAACTGTAAAAAAATAAATATTATAGATTATGGACTGAGGCTGCAGCGCTCCCTCTACTCTAATAATGATAACTTCACTTTCTTACCGTGTTCATATCCAAGTATTATTTCAGATAAAGTCAGCAGACGGAAGAGCAAAGACAGAAGCTCCAGAGGATTGAAGGGACGTTTAAAGCCCGACATGCTGTCACGAAGACCCTAAAACTAAGAGACTACTATGAAGGCAAATCACTGTCAAAATGCGAGAGCGTAAATGAGTACTCCGGTGCGGATCGGGGTGGAGTCAGTTTGCTATCTGGGTAGGCTTCTGCCGATCGCTCGTTGTGACGTCAGTAGTTCCACCAAAAAGAAAGTGGCAGCCTCTGGGCAAATTCCAATGTCCCCCCTTACGGACTCACGGACTTTGAGGCGCGCTCACGTGAAGTCCGTGAGGGTTTAGGGATGTCCCACTGTCAAATCGTCAAGTGTTTGAGGCTCTCTTGCAGACATTTTGAGCCCTTTATGAACCCTTTCCGTAAGTCAGCATGGTATGCTGATTTAGCCTAAGGGAATTACCCACAAATCGTTGCAATGTGATGTTAAACACGGAGTAACCAGTGGACTCATGGAGATGTAAACAAAGAGGACAGCTCACGTGTGTACATAATAAATGTACTCAGAAACATTAAGGGTTAAAGATGGAACAAAAAATAAACATGAAATCAGAAGATATTTATTTATTTATTCATCAAATATTTGATTTTGTCATTGCAGCTGTTTTGACAAAAACGAGTAAATAGATTATATGAAATCACCTCTCATCTTGTGAGGAAAGAGCCAGGAATACTTTCAAATCAGGGAGTACAAAGTATAAAATAAATACCCACAATTGTACATCATATTTTTTGTCGTTTTCATGGTAACGTGATATGTTGCAGCAAAGTGCTGTCCCATTCCTATTCACACCATCTCAAGCCCTCACAGTCTCTCACACTCATAAATCATAAATATTGTGTTTTACATCTGATTGCCTCAAGGCCTCATGATATCCTCCACACTAGGCATTTAAACATATCATATTGCTGATCATCACTTTCATTGAATTTTTAGTGGTTTAGTCAACTTTGTAACACCCATGGTGTTCCCGGTGACCGCCATAGGAAATGAATGGGAAAACACTAGATTATGTCCATTCATCAGATGGAAAATAGCCCCATACCACAACCTCCCTCCCATACACACACACACCTGTTCACAGCCCCATATATAAAGTTGTACACATTTCAAACTTCAAACAAAAAAATCAGGTGTTTGTTATGGGAACCCATCTCTATACCACGCTTATGTGTCCATCCCCCCCACGTGAACCACACCTTCCAGACAAAACAATGTTTCATATCTTCTCACTTGCCCCCTATATAAACCTTTATTTGTGCCTTGCTCTCATTTTACTCTGTGAGCACAATGAGTAGGCCACTGATGAGGCGATTTTCTGTCAGAGAGGCTCTGGACCTAATTTTTGAATCAGATGAAGAGGAGATTGAACCGGAGATAGAGGAAGATGTCTCAGAAATTGAAGACAACAATGATCTTGATTTCGATCCGGACTATTATGAGACTGACCAGTCAACAGATGGCGAGGAAGTGGCACCAGAGGAACAACATGCTCTGGTATTCATCCTCCCAGGACAGAGGAGGCAGAGAGAGAGTTGAAAACATAATAAGGATGACGCCAGGGCCAACACGATATGCAACATCTCGTGTGAATGACATCAAGTCCAGCTTCCAACTCTTTTTACCAGAGTCCATTGAGGGTATTATACTGGACATGACAAACCTGGAGGGGAGGCGTGTGTTTGTGGACACGTGGAGAGCGTTGGACCAGGTAGACTGCCAAGCCTACATGGCTCTGTTGATTCTAGTAGGAGTATAACGGTCAAACAATGAGGCTAGAAAAAGTCTGTGGAATGCGGAGTCCGGGAGGCCTATATTCCTGTCAACAATGTCCTTACAACAGTTTCATTTATTTTAGCGATGCATTTTCAGTGTCTATTCTTTGTATATTCACAGCAGTTGTAAACCACTAGTCTGAGACATTTTTTACAGCTTAAAAAAGGTGTTAAATAAAATTTGGTGATGATTAATGTTTTTTGCGTTAATGTAGAGCAGTTAAAACAGACCGGTCAAATTTGACCGGGAACACTAAAGTAAGGGGGAGAAACAAAAACGACAGGAGGGTTAAATTATACCAGATACAATTCCATACATGATTCACAAGTATACAGACTTAAAAACACAAAGACAGCTTGGGTCAAAGCTGCCGAGCTGAGCGGGCGGAGCCACATTGTTGTTGCAACAGGTCAGCTGCCGTAAATCAGTTTTATGATTTTAGTTGAGTCATCTGAGCCCCCCGTTCTCTGTATCCTTAGAGTAACCACGTTGTACTTTTTTTGTTTCTCATTCATTTTATTTAAGTATGATTTTGCTGGTTTTGAAACAAAAGGGAACATAATACACTCTTTCCAAATAATTACTTTTATAGTCATTTACAACAATCGGCTAACATAATGAAAATAAATCATCCGTGTTATTATCATTTCAAAGTACATGAAAACGTTTTAAAATAAAAACCCATAAAATGTCCAATCCAAAAATACAAGTCTGAAAATATCTTCACTCTTCCTCTGCTTATATGTCGGTGTCAGTAGGTACCACAAGCTGCCAGTGCCACCAGTAGTCAGAGGAGGGCCACCTGAATGTTGAATGTAGTTCAGCCTCCTCTACAGTGATGACTTCGTTTTCTGATCGCTGAATGTATTTAAATAACAACCATAAAAGATTAACATAACATCTGAATAGACCAACACAAATACTAGGAGTACAATTTACATCAGGTGTTTACTGACTTCCAAATGCTGTTTCTACATTTTCAAATGTCCCATTTAATGTCACCCTGCTCTGTTTAGTGTCTCCCTGCCCCCACCTTCACCCTCTTAGCACCCAGGGTCGGGGGTGGCTGAAGTATTGGAGAACCCAGAAAATGCATTTGTTTTCCTGAGAGTTCCACTGACAGGCTATAAAGGGCAGGGGAAGGGGCTGTGGCAGACAAGTGTCCCAGCAGCTGATACCAACTGCTCTATATATAGCCTCCAGGCCCTGTTCACTGCATTAGAGCACACAGCCCGAACAAACAAGCCACATGCTTTTTACTTTCTGGAAGTTAAAGGAATAGGAAAGTAGTTTCTGTCGTAGTACTGTGCAATAATTACAATGAACAAGCCAAAAATTGACAGACCAGAGGAGAGGTAAGTGCTGTCTCTTTTTGAGGACTTATGACTTTGCTTTATTTGGCTAATCCTAATGTATGATCATATATTTGATTCATAACAGTTTCTCTGTGTCTTAACAGCCAGCCAGCACGTGCGCTGTGGTTTGACAGAAAGAAATATGTAACCATCAACTTCATGGTTCAGAGACCGAAAGATGTCCAGGTTGATATCCAGCCAGATAAAATGATTTTATGGTGAGTTCATACATGTGTTCCCTTTTGTTTCTCTGTTCGTGAAATGTCTTTCTTGCATTCTGTCTTAAGAAACATACTTTGTAAAACAGCGTTTGTTGAAAATCATGTGGCCAGTTGTCTTTACAATAAAGTGTTGTAAATTGTATATATTTAAACTAAATTGTTCTCTTGACAACTCTGTCCTGTCTTCACAAACAGCTGCAAAAATGACACCGATGACGTGATCTACAATGAGCTGCACTTCTACGACAAAGTTCTAATCAATGTAAGCATCCGCTTTTTTGGCGCAATGAGGCCAATGGAATAAAACTGATTCTATACGTTGTATGCTGAGATATACAGTCAGTTTGATGTTTAATATAAATGTGTTGATTTTTCCTGATAACACTTTAACAGGACTCCAGAGAAAGAGTCTATGACCGCACCATCAATCTCTTGCTAAGGAAGGGGAAGCCTGACTATGCATGGCCTCATCTCCAGAAGGATCTGGCTAAGGTAAGTGTGTGTGTGTGTGTGTGTGTGTGTGTGTGTGTGTGTGTGTGTGTGTGTGTGTGTGTGTGTGTGTGTGTGTGTGTGTGTGTGTGTGTCTGTGTGTGTGTGCTTAAATTGGTCACCCACATTTAAGTCTTAACATTCTTACATCCTTAAGAAATGTTTGAAGTTTTCTTGTGAATTTTGTGTGTAACTTTTAAGAGCGTGGATTCTATAGAAATGGGGAAATATTTCAGAAACTATTTATTATATTTCTCACCACACTATTTGCAAATCAAGTGATACCACGTCAGGTGCCGACCCCTCTGTTGAAAAACTCCTGTGGCACAATGAAACATGGGTTTGACTACTGATATTTAAAATGTTAAATGACACTTGAACTAAAAGTATAATAAGGATAGAAATTAAAAATGTGTTGTTTCTCCTTCTCTTTGCAGCCCAGCTGGATTTCTGTAGACTTTGATAACTGGAGGGACTGGGAGCATGAAGAAAACGATGGAAAAGAGGAGTACGATAGATACATGGATGTGAGTAAATGCAATGTCTCCAGTTATAAAATCAACTCAATTACGATAATGTTCAAGATTTTAGGAAACCGTGCATGTACTTATGTACTTTGCAATATTTACATTCTTTCTCTGAGTGTATGTGTGTGTGTGTGTGTGTGTGTGTGTGTGTGTGTGTGTGTGTGTGT